CAAGAAGTATGTGGCGTTTTCAGGTAACATGGACCGTGAGTCATCCCGGCGTGTTAAAAATGGTTCATCCTTTTGGTGGATCGATATCTGAAATCGACGAGAATCGTTTTGCAATCTGCTTGGAAGGTGGTAGTGCGGGATCAGCAATTGTAAAAGTCAGTCGGAATTCCATGGTGTTAAGCTTGTTTCCTTTGGCGCCGATGTAGCTAGGTATGTGGTCGAGTGCGTTGGGCAGCGTTCAGACTTCGCGACGACATGCGTCGACGCGCTATCATTGCAACTGCCCTCCAGTGCTATAGAAAGGAACGCAAATATACGTGTATCGACCGGCACAGGCCGCTAGGTTTCAGAAGGTGTAGGATAGTAGAAGGGTGCCAGACTGTGTGATTAGGCTACGTACCCTCCTATTCTACAATACGCTCTTCAAGCAGTCGCGATCAGCGCTGATTGATACCCGCTCTTCTATAGCACTGGCGCGCTTCGCAGGTTACAGCGTGTCGACGCGCGTCATCGCGAAGTCGAACGCCGTTAGGAGATAGATGACGTGTCTATGACGTCACATAGCTCGTTAGTAGCACGTCTCGAGACATCACTGACACGCATGCAATACAGATTGCCTTGTCACTAACGTGTAGATGGCTCGCCGTCTTCTAGTTTCTGACATCTACTAGACCTGTGGTACTCGTGCGTCCTCCCTTCTGATTTCCACGTTGATCCCTTTTAATTGCTGTGTTGTGTTTCTCAAGGTTTTCGTAGAGCATGTGGTTTACTTCAGGTTCGCGTAGAAGTGGCCCCACATGCTAAACAGCACTTTGTTCGATCGATACGTGAATTTGAAGACAGTATAGAAATTCGTGTAGAAGAGCCGTTGTCAATGCGTCAACCTAAGCTACCGGTTCCTTCCATACGACTAGCGCAGAACTCTCAGATGCAGCTGGAAACAGCATGGTTGGTCAATTCACTCGAAGTTCCACAGCTTTCTTTTCTACTTTGTGAATTGTTTTAGGCCACAGTCTGTCGTGGAATTCTCTGTACCGCCTGAGTACTCTAACCGGTTGTCTGTCACGAAGTCAGGTACCATCAAAGCAAAATCGATTGCGGGACCAGCAGCAGTGGTGGTTCGTCGTACTGACTCACCCGATAACGAAACTTCGGTTGTTCCGGTAACGGTGAGTTCAGAGATAATGAAGTCGAGTTTAGTTTACAAATGACTCATGAGACTTCAGATTTCCGCAGTGAATTCTCCTGGACATTGGCATGCTGACAAAGATTGAGCCAGTATCCGCTACCCCGCTACAATACCTGCCAGTTGGTCTGAAAGTGGACCTGCAGGTGATGTTCCGTGATTCACGTGGTCGTCAGCTGTCCGCTTCCTCACTACCGATAAGCTATCGACCGCACAGGTAGGGTTCAAAGTACTACCACTGTTTCTACTAAATTAACAGCGTTTTTATTCAGGTTCGACTTGACGGAGATTGTCCCAGCTCATTTGAACAGGACCCTCACTGTCACAATGAAGTCGCCAGGCGAAACAGTTCTAATGGTATCCTCTTGAAGTAGCTGGGGGCGGACGCTTACTGCCAACGCTATTGGTAGAAGGACTGAATAGGGTTTCGCGAAACGTCCTCTCTCAGCCCTTTCACCAATGACGTCGGCAGTGCCCGCCCGCCCCAGCCATCGTGCCCACTGTCTTTCAATTGCATTCCTTGGTGAAGCTCGTTTTTTATTGCATTTCGTTACAGATCTGGAACACAGCTGTCCCTTCGCAAAGCGTGTTCGTCAGGCTATCCGCCGTTGAACAGCTGTATTCATCGCACAGGCAACCTGTAGTGTCAGACATAGTGTGCTTTGAATCGCCACTGGCAGGATCAATGCGCTGGTCATCAAGTGATGACCGTATTGAGTGGCTAGATGCAGAACAAGGAGTAGCGAAGCTGTCCCAGTCTGGCAGCGCGCATGTTACTGTAAACGTTGCGGATCAAAAGTTGACAACCACGGTGAGTCGTTCCGTTGTTCTCATGGGTTTCTATGTTAGATGGACTGGAATCTATATATTCTGCGTGGCTACCACAGCCTTGGTGTAGAGCGTTACGTCCCAGTCGCGGCATCGCGCGCGCTGGCAGAGCAGTCAGTACCTGGCTAGTTGACTGTGCAGTCGTAGCGCAGAGAAAGCTTGTTGACTCGAGAGACGAATACGTAGAGAGAGTCGACGCGCCACAGCATTGCCACGTTGAGTGGATAGGGTCCTGGTGCGATTGCAAAGTACGTCACCTCGCTTGGAGCGCCTATTTAGTCGCGCTCACCGCGGCTGGGAAGTACTCTCAGCACAGGGTTGGAGTGAGGTGATGGCAAAGTGCGTAATTACTACACCCGTTGTCGGGAGGGCACTTTTGGGTTGCTCCGCAACTCCACAAGCCACACCAAGCTGTTCATTCCTCCAGTGTTAGTTCATTGGTACTATGTAGACTTGCCTAGGTAGAGAAGCACGCCTAATCGGGTCGTTCGTTGGATATTTCCGTTTGAAACAACACATTCTTTCAATAGGTTAAGCCGACGCCATTTTCAAATGATGTCCGCATCCGCGCCCCTCCCTCCGCCTGTATAGCATGTATATCACAATCCTTTTAGATGTTTATTCGTGCCGCAGCACAACTGCATTTTGCTGATGATCATCCGAAGTTTGTTACTAACGCGGAGGGAATTTCATCAGAGTTCCCAGTAAATGTTGCTGCCAACGGAACTGATTCGTCACCTACTGCCATGACTGGTTAGAAGATTTTCAATTGTTTGAGTTTTCATACTATTTACTGATTTCGGCGCAGTTCGCCTAGGTGGGACACTGGATGGTCACCAACTTTTACAAGCACCTTGTGAAGACTTGTAAATTCCTGTAATCAGTGGAGCCAACTCGTACTATTTCGCAGCTTCACATGAGTTCACAGGTCTGACCAAAGTGAGACCTGTTGGTCAGCATGAACCAAATCAACTAACGGAAGTGCAAAATGCCCCTCCCAGACCGAACAGCGCCGAGATTCCCGTAAATAAGTAAATGTCATCTTCAGGTTGCACCGAATCACAATTGGAGGCCCTCTCTTCGATTCGAGCTCCATTCGAATGTATTGCGACTTTCACTAACAATAAGATAGGACCAGCTGTGAATATACTGTCTACGAGAGCCGCTTTCTCGCCACGCAATCGTACGTCCTCTTGATTAAACCTTCCTCCGAATATTCACGTGTTGATTTGGCAAAAATATTTGGAGATGTATTGGTTAATTGATTGAACTCCTTCATTTAAGGGCTGTATGCATGCGTTATTGAACGACAAGAAGCCGGATATGTTCGCCTGGACGTAGTTAATGCACCTCAAATGGAACTAAAAATAACAGCGAAATGGTTGGGCGATTCTCATGTGAGTTTTGGTTTGAATACCTCCTGTTCTGCAATGTAAACATGTCCAAATTCAGATTCCGGATGCTACTACGAGCACCACTTCCATATGGCTATGCGTGTTCTTGAGTCGGAGGTATTTTCT